GGCTCAGCAGGTCCCACTCAGTGATGGCTGAGCCTGCGCTGCCCCGGATGCCGGCGTGCTGAGGTCATGCCCAGCTCCTTGCAAGCTCTGATGTTAATTAGGCCGGAGGGGGGAGGGAGCCCTTACTAAATAAAACCCATTGTGTGGGTTTCTAGGCCAAGCCAGGCCTGCCTGCGTCTGGTCATCATTTGCGTGACCCGCCGAGCTCTACCAGGCTCTGCCCAGCCGTAGAGAGAGGACCCTGGCCCCAGATTGCTTCCAGCATGTCTTCTCTGGAAAATCAGGCCTTTTTATCCAGGGCAGTTCCCTGCCATGGGAGGGCACAGCCAGGCTGCAGGCCATGCAGCCTCGAGCTCCGCAGTCTTGCGCTGGCCGCCCTGAGGCTTTTAAATTCAAATCGAAAGTAAAAGAAATTGCTTTGTGCGTGACATTCCTCAGTCTGAAGCTGCTGGGAGCTTCACAGCTGCCTGACCCCTCCCTGGGCATGTCTACACGTGCGCATTTACTGTGCAGTCACCAAAATTACTGCGCAAGCAGGCACACGTCTACATGTGCACACTGGTACTGTGCAGCAAATATGGCGACTTACACCAACTTGAACATAAATTTGATACTTGCATCATGCAGGTATCAAATTTACGCCCAATTAGTTACTGTGTAGTAACACACGTGTAGGGGCCTTACTATGCAGTAACATTGTATGTGTGGACTGACCTGGGGCTAACTTTAGTCCCAAATCAGTCCTCGCAGGGTTAATGTGCTTTAATGCCTGCACATGTAGACACCGGCCTATTCCTGCTTACTGTGCAGTAACTTATTGCGCAGTAAATTTATGCCGGTGTAAATGCATGTGTAGAGACAACCCCTGAGAGGGTGCTGGGCAGAGCCCTGGAGCCCAGCAGCCCCTGCCCTCCTCTTGCATTATTGCATTATTACCCCAGGAAGCTCCCTGGCCTAGCAGGGCAGGTGCAGGGGGGACATGTGGGGAAGGAAATTGCCAGCTGGCTGCTTTGTTTGCAAACAGAGCTGGCAGGGGCTGATGAATTGGTCTCCGCCCCCCTGCCACCCCTGCCCCTCCTTGCCCAGCAGTTGGCTTTGCTCCCTTGTTTGCAGCTCTGGGGTTGGGAGCGGCTGCAGCCGCCCTTGCTGCCTCCCAAAGCAGCTCTGCTGGCTCTCTTAGGCCTGAGGCCAGAGCTCTAGTGTGGCCATCAAAGCCGCCCCGGCCCCCTGTGCTCCTCGATCAGGGCCTTCAGCTTGGGGGTGCCCCGGTTCCAAAGATTGGGACTCTTGGAGGAGACCCCACATCTTTTGTTGCTCTTGAAATCTGTCCTTGTGTTTGGCAGGGAAGTTTTTTGGGAGGAGCTCAGAGCTATGTGGCTGCAAAGTGGCAGGTGCCATTGTAACCACCCCTCACTTGGAAGTGGCACCGTGTCTCCCAGCTGCTTTTCTCTGCGTGTGAGCAAGTGTTCAGTGTCAGGCAGACAAGCATGCTGTAGGGTTGACTTTGTTTCTCTGGGCCCTGAGCTGCAGAAGAGCTTGCCTGTGTTCAGAGCCCATTCTGGGGGTGGGCCCTGGCGCGGTCCCCGGGAGAAGGCTGCGTGCAGCTGTGAGCCTCTGTCCCAGGACCAGCTTGCATAAGGCAGCAGCGCCAGTTGCACTCCAAGCAGACCCGGCCTCCACATAATTGATTTCCCTTCTGCTAGGAGCCTGACCTGCAAAACCACACACATCTGCTGCATGTAACAGAGATGCCATGGCTTTGTGTGCATGTTCGCATCTCCCTATCGTAGACAGTCAGAGCCTGGTCCTGGTGAACCCCAGGGGGGTCGCCGCTTGGGCTCAGTGCTGTAGGTTCGATCCTGGTGGCCGGTGCGTCGTGGTAAGCTTGTCTCCCAGCTGCGCTTTCTTCACTTGAAGAGGGCAGGCTCGCTGGGGCATGTGAACACGCAGGGGGAGACTCACGGCAGGGGGCCAGTTTGCAAGCTGAGAAATGATGCCCCCTCTCAATATCCAGGGCTGCCGACTCCCCCAGGACTGACCTCTGGGTAACCCGCCTTGCAACCAAGACCATAGCTGCAGGGAGGCTGGGGGGTGAAGCCAGCTTGGTTTAGCTGGTGCAGGGGGTGGGCAGCAATGCTTCACTTTACTTCTGCAATTGAGTCTTAATAGAGCAAACCCCTCTGCCGTGGGGGTGGCTTATGCCTCCCTTGGAGTTTGCTGGGTGTCGTGCTGTGTTGTGGACCAGGGGGACAGCCCCAGGACACGGGTAACAAGCTGGGGTAAGCCCCATATCCTCTGCTTAAACCTAGCAAGCCCCCTTGAGAGGACCCCCATGCCCTGATGTCCTCAGTAAGAGAGGCCAGCAAAAGAGCTAGGAACATGTGAGATGCAGGCACGCCCCTGGCACAAGATGGGCTGAGACTTGTCAGAACTCATCTCAGAGGTGGTGAGATGCAGAGATCCCAGTGCCCAGCCTGAAAGCATCCCGGCCAGGTCTTTGCAGATGCTCTTGTATACCTGAGCACCCTTTGCACCCAGTGGGGAGCCTTGAGGGGCCAGGAATTACCACTGGCAGGCCCTTTCACCATGCAACGGGTGCTTTGAGATCAGCGCAAATTGTTACCTCCCTTTGGGAGCTGGGTGCCGGAGCAGGGACAGGCCTGGTGCCCACCTGTGCCCACCTGTGTCTGCTCCCTTCCCCAAAGGATTGGGGGATACGCCGAATAGACACTCCTGGTCCTGCTGTGACGTGAGGCTGCCGGGTTCTCACGCTACCTGGCTGCCACTCACTGCCTCGGGTGCTGTGAAGCTCACTGCTGTCTCCCACCCCGGCCCTGCGAAATGCACAGTGGAGACAGCGAAGGAGCCAACTCTGAGCTCAGGGAGGGCTGCACTTACGTGGGTCCTTGTCCCAGCTCCACTGTCACCTCCGTGTCTCTGCCTGAAACAGGGACAGTCCCCTGCCCTTGCCTCGAATGGGATTCCCAGGGCAGAGGCTTTGCCGGGTCTATGCAGTGCCCAATGCCACGGAGACTCTGGATGCAGAAGAGCAGAAATAACGGCTTCTTTGCACCTCACCACATGTTCTGGGGGTCAATAAAGCAGCTACAGCATCGCCAGCATCTTTGTGCTTATGTACGTGGCTCCATCTCTGGGGGTGCATCCTACCTTGGCTGTACCTGGGTAATTATAGCAACACTGCATTTGCATGTAGCAAAACCTACACGATGAGCAAGGCTGGCTGTAAAACAGAGGACTCAAAGGGAAAATCCTGTGGACTGGGCTTTTTCTACCCTCTGCCCACCCTGCAAAATCCCTGTCAAAAAACAGGGGGGGCTGTTTTCAGACCCACACAAAAGATTGGCACATGAAGTCTGGTCCCATTTAAAAATGTGTGTTTTAGAAACATTTTGAACAGAGCTGTTTTTTTCGGCTTGGAAAGCTCAGGGGGAAATAGCACTGGTGGGGATGGAGATGTTAGAGCCGGTCTGCTTCAGGCGCAAGGGTGCAGGATGAGAGATGCCGTCATCTTGGCCTCGAATGACCCAACGTTAGAGGGTAAAGGCCTGTCCCTTGTGCTGCGGGCAGGCAAGAGTCTACAATGCCTCCAACGCGAGGATTTTGCCTACACAGTTGATAGTGATGGGGGGTTGCATTGAAGCTTTCCCTCTATCTTGCGCCTTCTGACTCGGGGCACGTGAGACTGGGAGGCATCTGAACCCCAAAGCCTCCGGGCTTGGAGCTTGCATGTAAGTACATCCATGGATTTGGGAGCATCTGAAGCCCCAAGGTGAAGAGTCTGGGAGGGAGGAGACTGGCCGGTGGTAGCACCACACACTTGAATGTTGGAGCTCTGCTCACTCAAAATGTGGAATTTAATTCAGACTGGATTTGGCCTGGAAACAGAATTAAAAAGAAAAGATGAGTGCTTTGGCTCGGAGCATTGGCAGAGGCTGGCATTCCTCTGAGGGGCTGGCTGGAGCAGGTCTTTTGGCTTGATCAATGCTACAAGCTAATCAGAAAGACCAGGCTGGATGGTCCCGGAGTTGGTCCTGGGCTGGAGGTTCTTGTTCTAGACCCCAGGCGCCACTGTCCATTCAAAGCCCCTGTCTTGAGTCATCGTCCGAGGGTCTGGCCATGCACTGGTGGGTTGGTGGCCTGTGTTGTGATGTAGCTGATGGGTTTCAGTGGAGCTGGGCTGGGGTTGGGGAGGTGGATGCTAGCACGATCTACCCTTTTGAGCCCTGGGACCCTTCCTGGACACCCCAGCACTGCACTGGCTGCAGCAGGAGACCTCATGCACTCATCTCCTTTCTCCCTCTGCAGCTTCCCCGTGGGAACCCAAAGCAGATGCCCCACGCCTGAGCTACTCCAGATGTGGAGGCTTGTCGCCTGCTGCACCCATCAGGATCTGGCTGCCAGTTGCCACCAAGAGCACAGGATGCACAGAGGTCTTGGTGACTGATTCGCCGTAGGGGGAACCAGGCCTTCTGCATCACCACTGCTGCCCCTGCTCCCTCCTGCGCTGAGCCGGTGAGTTCCCGCCATGCGTGCAGGGCATGAGGCCAGGACTCCTGGTTCCCAGGCGTGCGGAGCAGGGAGGTCACCTCTTCCTTCCCTCGGGGCCAGTCTTGGACTCTCAGCAGGGTGAAGGTCACAGATTCCATAGCAACATGTAACAGGTGGCAGGATTGAATTTAGTTTGCACTAGGGCAGGCAGGAGGAAATGCACGGTTGCACGTGCATGTTGGCAAACATGAGCATGCCAGAAGGCACGTAAATGTGCAAGGTACTACCATGTGGGGAGCTGTGTGCAAAGGGGTGACGAGGGGGAACTTGGAATCAGGAGGTTCAAGCGCTTGGGTGGGGTGTGCCTATAGGCATGACCTGGAGAATGTAAAGAGGGAGCCTGCGTGTGCAAGGGGGGAGTGGCTGTGTCCACATGAGGCTGCGTGTGTGCAGCTGTGCCTGGGTAGGGGCATGCACTGATGTATACACGCATGCATGCACACGGCTGGGAGCCGGCGGTGGACGGAGGGCCTGCCCGGGCACTCTGCACAGAGGGGCCAGCCGGGCCACAGGCTGCTGGCAGGGCCACCCCCTCCCCGCTCTGGCTGGCTGCTGGGAGCAGAGCAGCAGGGAACACAGCCCGGTGTAAATCTCCTAATGGCGCTAATGAATAGGCCAGGGACAAAGCGCGCCCGGCCCCCTGCCCAGGGAGGGCTGCTTGCCCGCCCGCCCCGGCCCGGTCCCGTATTGTTCCCGGCAGAAATCCGATCCTTCCTTTCAGACCAAACCCAGAGATGAGGGGGGCTGCAAAGGGGGGGCTTTCTCTTTCTGCTTGTGTTTCTTCGAGCTCCCAGGCCTTGTTGCCATCTCCTAGACAACCAGGGTGGGGGGGCTTTTGTTTCCATAGTGATAAATGTGAGAGAATCCAGCATCATGGACAAAAGGATGCCCACCCCGCCCTGGCCCCCTCCCCGAGGCAGGGGGGCCTTGGAAAAGGCCAAAAGACATTTGGGTTTTCTTTTCTGGAAATGGCATTTCCCTGGTAACACGCCACGTTGCATCGGGCCCACCCTGGCCCCGGCCGCCTCTTGCCTGTGGTGCACCCTGCGTGGCAAGGACAGGGGGGTGTCACTGGGCACTGGGTGCAGCAGGGTTTGTAGCTCCGGGGCTGAACGGTGCTTACTCCTGTGGGGAGGAGGGGGGGGGATTGGGGGAAGCAGGGCTGGGATGTAAAGGTTGCTGCTTGCCCCTGAATCGGGGGGGTGACAAGTCTGCTCACCCCTGGGAGGAGGTGGCATCTGTGCTTCCCTGAGGTCTCCCTTTTGTGCCCAGCTGCTCCTCTGAGCTGGCTGCTTGGAGACACGAAGTTTCTAGGCTATTTCCAGCTGTTAAAAATGCATCATTTTTCCTGGAGATTGCCACCTCCAGATGTGCTAGGAGCTGTACAAACACACAGCAAAGCAAGTGCTGGGTGCGACTGAGCATGACAGGGGTGGAAAGCACCACCCTTGCCATGGCAGTTGGCTCCAATGGGGGAAGTGATGGGAACAACCTTCCCCCTTTCTGTAGTGTTTGAGAAGAAAGTCATCATCTCCCTGAATGCACGGGCTCTGGGCAAGAGCAGGCCTCTCTGACCATGCTGGCAGAGACCGGTGTGCTGGGGGGAGTTTAACTGGGGAGAGCAGCAATGCACACCCTTTGGGGTGCATTGGGGTTAGGTAGCTTGCAGCCGCCTCCATGGGTTTAATTGCACCAGTCTCCATCTCTCCCCCTGCAGCAGGACATCATTTTCTTCTGAGAGGAGCCCCGCCAGCTGATCAAAATAGAGTCCCTCCGGGTGAAAGTCGACTTCCTGAAGGCGCCCCTGGGCCTGAAGAAGCCCGCTCTCAAGGAGGCCGCGGCCGCCTTGGCGGCCGTCCCCGGGCCCGGACGGGCCAAGTCCATCAACGTGGAGCGCTACAAGGCGCGGCGCTCCGACAACATGGACAACGAGTCGCAGTACTCGGGCTACTCCTACAAGTCGGGGCATTCGCGGAGCTCCCGCAAGCATCGGTGAGGCCAGGGTGGGAGGTTGGATTGCGGAGGGGGGTTGATCTAGGCATGCTCTTTGGGGTTGGGAGAGATCCCCTGGAGAAGAGGAGAGGCATGAGGGGTGGGAGGGTCCCCACACAGCTCTGGTAGTGTCTCAGGAGGGGTCTCCTCATCTCCCCACATCGTGTGTGTCTTTGAATGAAGCACCCCGGATGTCCCCCTTGCTCCAACCCTTTACCACTCCTTGAGAAGCAAGGGGCAGGGTCCCTGGCATTGGCCTGGGGGTACCTGGGGAAGGGAAGTGGATGTGCCCAGAGACCCCCAACACATGCGCATGGAGCTTTGCTTTCATGGCAATATCCACTGCCAGGGGATGGCAGTGGCAGGGCCCCCCATTACCTGATGTCTTGCCATGGGCATCCATGAAGAGTATGCAGCTTGTTCCTGCTGACATCCACCCCCTGCCCTAGCTAAGCTGGTCCAGTAGCCCCCTCTTCACTCCATGTGGGGTCTTTTCTCTCCCCCAGAGACCGGCGGGACCGGCACCGCTCCAAAAGCCGAGACGGGAGCCGCGGCGACAAGTCAGTGACCATCCAGGCCCCCGGCGAGCCCCTCCTGGACAACGAGTCAACCCGAGGGGACGAGAGGGTGAGAAGGGGCTGAAGGGGAGGGAGGAAGCATTCTCCCTGCGGCTCTTCAACCCATGCCTACGTGTGCGTAATGCCACGCATGAACGGCTGCAGCCTGCCGCCTGCTAGACCCAATCTCACAAAGCCTCTTGGAAGGCCAGGGGCTCCATGAAAACATCACCTCGCAGTTCAGCTTGCGTGTCATTGCCAAATACCTCGGAGAGGCCCTGCCGCACCTTGCCTCAGCTCTGCGTGGCCCAGGAGCAGGTCTGGGGCGTGGAGCCTGGCAGCTCACCTGGTATCCGTTGCCCTTTGTGTGACAGTTCCTGGCATTTCACAAGGAGAAAATAAACCAGCTCCTGGAGGAAGAAAGCTGGCAGCAAGTCAGTTTGCCAGGGCTGGCGGGAGCTGAGGTTTCCGGGCATCTCTCATGCTAGCAGGCGTCCAGTCCTGGGCTGGTGTGTGCCCTCGAGCCTGGCTCCAGGGGCAGTCAGGAGGGAGAACAGATCGGTGAGGCTATCTCTCTGGCTCCTGGTGAGCTTGGATGGTTGCTGGACATCGCCAGAGCTGCATCAAAGCGCAACATGCAGGCTCTATTCTGCCCGGGGTTGAGTTGGCAGGGGCATCACCAAGGAAGGAGGGGCATGGGGCCAAATGTGCTCGTGCTGCCTTGAATCCTAAGGGGTTGCACCTGGTGCCCAGAACAAAACAGAGGGCCTGGATTCCTGCATCCCATTCCTGCTTGGCTACTGCCCTGCTGGTTGACCTGAGGCAAGTTGCTTAGCCACTCTGTGCCTCAGTTTTGCTCTCTGTGGAATGGGACTAGCGATCCTGGCCTCCATGGATAGGGCTTGGCGATGAAAATGGAAAGCCTGCAGGTCAGGTCTGGGTTGGATTTGGGGACCTGGGCAAGGCCAGCTGCACCCACGCTAGGTGGTGGTAGTGGGTAGCTGGGCAGGACAGTGGGTCTGACCCCACTTGCTGCCCCTGAGAAAACCCAGGGTCATTAACCCTTTCCTCCTCCCCTGCAGGACGACAACTGGGGCGAGACCACGACGGTGGTGACGGGGACATCGGAGCACAGCATCTCGCACGATGACATCACGCGCATCACCAAGGACATGGAGGACAGTGCCCACCTGGACTGCTCGCGCCACCTGGGCGTCTCGCTGGGCGGGGCGTTGGCACTGCTGTCCTTCCTCACCCCACTGGCCTTCATGCTGCTGCCCCAGCTGCTGTGGCGGGAGGAGCTGGAGCCCTGTGGCACGCCCTGCGAGGGGCTCTTCATCTCCGTGGCCTTCAAGCTGCTCATTCTGCTGCTGGGCAGTTGGGCCCTCTTCTTCCGGCGCCCCAAGGCTTTCTTCCCCCGCGTCTTCGTCTTCCGGGCCCTGCTGATGGTGCTCGTCTTCCTGCTGGTCGTCTCCTACTGGCTCTTCTATGGCGTGCGCATCCTAGACTCGCGGGACCGCGACTACCAGGGCATCGTGCAGTACGCCGTGTCGCTGGTGGACGCCCTGCTCTTTGTCCATTACCTGGCCGTGGTGCTGCTGGAGCTGCGCCAGCTCCAGCCCCAGTTCACGCTCAAGGTGGTGCGCTCCACCGATGGGGCCAGCCGCTTCTACAATGTCGGCCACCTCAGGTGAGGGGAAGCCACGAGGCCCAGGGATTCATTTCTCGCAGAGGGAAATGCTGCGTGTGTGGACACGTGCATGTGCACATGTGCTCACGTGCACTGCCAGCACCTGCAGCATGGGATCGTGGCTGTGTGTGCATGCACATGTGTTTGCATGTGCTACTAGCCCCTGCAGCATGGGATCGTTGCTCTGTGTGCATGCACATGCACGTGTGTTTGCATGTGCTACTAGCCCCTGCAGCATGGAATCATTTCTGTGTGTGTGCATGTGCATGTGTGTTTGCATGTGCTACTAGTCTTGGCAGCATGGGACCGTTGCTTTGTGTGTATGTATGTGCATGTGTGTTTGCATGCAGTACTAGCCTCTGCAGCATGGGATTACTGCTCTGTGCATGAGGTGTATGTATGTGCTCGTGTATTTGCATGTGCTACCAGTCTCTGCAGTATTGGATTGTTCCTCTGTACACATGTGAGGCTGTGCATGTGTATTTACATGCCTGTGTGCACACATGTTCAAGCGCACCACTAAGCCTCTGCTGCATGGGATTGTCTCTCTGTGTGTGTGCCTGCACTGGTGTTCACACATGCCACCCACCTCTGCTACACAGGATTATGTGTATGTATACATGTGTGTGTGTGCACATGTGCATGTGTGTGTAAAAAGTTGCCCTCTGCATTTTACCAGATCTCGTGTGCACGTGTATGTGTGTGTGTGTGTAAAACGCTGCCCTCTGCATTTTACCAAATCTGTCTGCGCATGTGTGTAAGTGCATGGGTGTGTATGTGTGTGTGTAAAATTCTGCCCTCTGCATTTTACCAGATCTCTGTGTGCACATGTGTGCGTCCACGGGTGTGTCTGTGTGCATGAGTGCTCATGTGTATGTGTGACACGGCCCAGCCAGCATGTGTACGTGTGTGCTGCTGCTCCCTGCTGGACAACTGTGAAGCTGCAGGCAGGATGCAGCGGGTCCCTGCCGAGTCCCTGCCAGGCTGGGAGCTGGGGAGGGGTCCCTCCAGGCTCCATGTCTGTACTGTGGCAGCTGGGAGGGGGCAGCAGTAGGGCACCCAGGGCAGTGCCACTGCCATATCCTCAGGGAGGGCTGTCCATAGAGGCCCTGCAGTGCTGAGCACGGGGTTGCCAGGTCCAGCGCGCCGCCACCTTCCTCTCGTGTCCCCCTCTGTGCGCCCTGCCGCATGGCTCTAACTGGTTGTTTTGTGTCCCTGCCCCCCTGGCCCCGGCTGGGTCTCTCCGCAGCATCCAGCGAGTGGCCGTGTGGATCCTGGAGAACTATTACCATGATTTCCCCGTCTACAACCCCGCCCTCCTCAACCTGCCAAAATCCGTCCTGTCCAAGAAAATGTCCGGGTTCAAGGTGTATTCCCTCGGCGAGGGTGAGCTCGCGGCTTCTAATCTCTCCCCACCCGTCGCTGTCTGTTCTCTCTGTGTTGACGGTGTCCCTATCACCCCTTGCTTTCTATCCTAACCCATCCCAGCCCTGCCGTCGCTGCACAGACCTGCCAGCCTGGAGGCACCACCTGCTTCTGTGATTTCCATTTGCTTTGGTACCTTGGGGATTAAGGTTAGGGTTAGGGTCACCTTGGGGTCTGGAGCAGACACACAGCCTACTCTCCCAGGGTGGCCGTGTGCAATGCCATACCCTAAAGTGGAGGGGGAATAGGTAACGACTCATTTGCCTTGAGCTAACAGCCATCCTGCACAGACAGCATTTATTCCAGGGTAGAGCTATACTTGATTTCCCCCTGGGTAATTCCCCCTGGGGTTTACTGCAGCGCAGGGCTGTTGGCCATGTATCTGCTCCAATTTTATACCAGTAGAAGAACCAAGTACTCTTGTGAAACTGTGTTGGGTGCGCGGGGTCTGAGCTGAGTTATAAGGAGGAATGAACCCACCTGTTGTCTTTATAGATGGCTCTCCCATCCCTTCCAGCCTCAGCACAGAGCTTGGTTTATTTTTTAACAACCCTTTCTGTCCAGGCAGCATCTTAGAAATCACAGAGCCATGAGGCTAGAGGGACTTTCTGAGGTCCCATCTGGTCCAGCCCCCTGCCTGAGGCAGGATCAGCCCTGTCCAAACCATACATCATCTAAGCTCTTAGTAAAACTACCATCAACCCTGACACAATACAAGTGTCACACCTGAATTTGCCCCAGGGAAAGCAGGGGGGCCACCGCAACCAATATCTTGCTGCTGGAAAAGGTCTTTAATATATTTTCAATGATCCCATGTCCCTGCTCCTGGTGAAGGCAGCTTCTCTGCTGCCTTTCCTGCTGGATTATCCTCTTTTTCTGAGCAATCACTGTGTATACCAATGCATTTGCCGTCCCCAGTGCTAATACCTTACCTTTACCCTCTGTGTGCCACACATGGGTTTCTGGCCGCACCAGCTCATGCATGTGGCCATGTTAACAGGCACCCTAGATAGGGCAGGGGTCCCTGGTCATGTCTACACCATGGCTGCAGAGAGCTGCGTCATGGCTGGGATTGGGAAATGTGGACCCCGGCTGCAAGACCACCCCCCTGTATTTAACCTTCCACTCCCCTTGCAGAGAACTCAACGAATAACTCCACGGGCCAGTCGCGGGCCGTGATCGCTGCGGCCGCCCGGCGGCGTGACAACAGCCACAACGAGTACTACTATGAAGAGGCAGAGCACGAGCGGCGGGTGCGAAAGCGGCGCGCCAGGTACGGGAGGTGGGGGCAGGCCACCAGGGATGGCAGTGAGGGCCCTGCGGTGCCCTGCAGCTCTCCACTGGGGCAGCCGGGATCCATGCCTGTGTCTCCCATGGGACCAGCCGGCCAGGTCACGGTGCTATCATGGGATCCCTTCCCTCCACAGGTTGGTAGTGGCTGTGGAGGAAGCCTTCACCCACATCAAGCGACTGCAAGAGGAGGACCAGAAGAACCCGCGAGAGATCATGGACCCGCGGGAAGCAGCCCAGGCCATCTTTGCCTCCATGGCCCGCGCTATGCAGAAGTACCTGCGCACCACCAAGCAGCAGCCCTACCACACCATGGAGAGCATCCTGCAGCACCTGGAGTTCTGCATCACCCACGACATGACTCCCAAGGTAGGAGGGGGCTGCGGGGAAAAGCCCCCTCCTCCCCGACAGCAGTTGGCACTCCATCTGGCTTGCTCCCTGCTTGCTTGGCCCGTTGCCAGGGACACCCCTGGCCAGAAGAGGCCTCTGCAGAGCTGGGTGCTGGATTGTTACACCCTGCAGGATCCATCTCTGCAGAGTGTTGCAAGCTCTGGTGCAGGCTTCGGGATAGCAGGTGGATTAGCAGGCACGGAGACCTCATGATGGGGACCAGGCTCCTAGCACCTTCCCCAGCTCTTCCACCAAGGGCCTGCTGCATGGTCTGGGAGCTGCCATGTACCCCATCCCTTGGAGAAAGGTTCCCTGTGGCATCTGGGTTTGCATTTCCAGCTGTGGGGAGGGCTGAGGGCAACAGGTCCAGTCACCAAGGGTAGCTTCTGAGCCATTACAGCCCACATTGCTGTAGCTAGGTGAGCATTTCTGTGGCTGGAGCTGGCTTGTTCCCATGGCCATTAGGCAAGCTGACCACAGACTTGCCCCTGCTGAGACCAACCCCCATCTCCTCTCTCTCCCCCAGGCCTTCCTGGAGCGGTACCTGAGCGCTGGGCCCACCATCCAGTACCACAAGGACCGCTGGCTGGCCAAGCAGTGGACTCTGGTCAGCGAGGAGCCTGTGACCAATGGCCTGAAGGACGGCGTGGTCTTCCTTCTCAAGCGCCATGACTTCAGCCTGGTGGTGAGCACCAAGAAGATCCCCTTCTTCAAGCTCTCCGAGGAGTTCGTGGACCCCAAGTCACACAAGTTTGTCATGAGGCTGCAGTCAGAGACCTCGGTGTGAACTGAAAAGGGCGTGGGGTGGGGGGAGAGGGGCAGGATGCGCCCCGGACCCTTTGCCGCGGTCCCCGGCGAGCATCAGGGGAAGCACCTCCAACCAGCACACGAGCCTGTTGCCTCCCCAAGGCCTCGCCATGACCCCTCTGTCTCTTGTCGTCTCCACTTGGGGCTCAGAGCCTTTCTCTGTCCCCCCATCCCCATTCCCTCCCAAACCCAGATTCTTGTAGCAATCTCCCCGGGGGTGCAGGCAGCATCTCAGCCAAGCCAGGACCCTGCATTTAGTGCCAGATTTCAAGGGCTACTTCCGTGAACTTTCTCACCAGCATCTCCAAGTGCCCAGGCTCCGTTCCTCTCGGGACTGTCCCATCTCTGGCCTTTCACAGCCTCCCCGGAGGTTTCGGATTTGGGGCTGGCGATGCCCTCATTGGAAGCCGCGGGAAGCTGGCCGGCACCTCTGAAATGCCACAGCAGCTACACCAACTTCCCCTGGCCCACCACAGGCAAGAAGAAACCACCCTTTCGGCCCTTCTGCTGAGAGGCCTGGTGCAGAAAGATCTCCCGCGGGGCTTCCCATAGCAGCAGCAACAACACAGAACTGGTTTTTGAAGAGTAAGAGGTTTTTTAAGTGGTAACTCCCTCTTCACCCCCATCCAACACCTGATCTGTGTCTTCTAAGCAGTGACCGCCACCCCCAAGCCTGTCCTGGCCCCCTTCAATGTCCTGGTTTGATTCTTCCTCTCGGCCAAGCCCCTTTTGCATGGATCCCAGCACTAGCAAAGGGCTTTCATGCAGGCATCAGCTATGAGCAATGCAAAGGGCTCTCCAGGCATCCAGTCCCCGGTCTGTGCAGGCACGTGGCTGGCGATAGTGGCACCTATGGCCCTGTTTGCTCTTGTCTGTAGCTGAGCCCTCTCCGTCTCCATTGCCTTGAGGACCCGAAGGTTTCCCTCTCCCCACCCCATCCGCCTTGATTTTTTTCCCCAGAGAACAGGCTCAGTCACTCGCTGTCCGTGTCGTGCCCTGGGCCAGGCCCCTGCTTGTGTGTGCATCTCTGGTTGTCCCCGCGGTGTAGTTGTCGTCCCAGCCCATCACTCCGATGGGACCCCCTGTCCCATGGGCCTGTATGAATTGTGCCTATGCCATGGTCTGCACCGGGGTGGGAGCAGAGTGGGCACTGCCCTCTGCCCACCCCAGCACAGCCAGGCAAACATTACGATGGGCTCTCCCCGGGCGGGCGGGGGTCCTCTCTCTGGTCGTTTCTACTCTCGGACCTGGCCGCGGCATCTCTCTCTCTAGGGCTGCAAATACCTCACGCGTTTTCTACGGGGTTCTTCGCGCCGGCTGGGCCGCGGGGAGGGTGGGGGGGCTGTCATTGTGCTGCCGTCTGTGCTGTGCGAGGTGCTCACGTGTGTCGTCCCAGTGTGGGGTTGTTTTTCGGTAGGACCTGCCAGGTTTCCTCACTGTGATTTTGTTTCCGTCTGTTGGGTTTTTGAAGCACTGCGAGGATTTGAGGACTGTGATTTTCCAGGAGGGGGGTGGGAGGGTGGCAGTGTTTTGCCCTAGGAAGTCAGGATTGTGATGTTTAAGCTTCTTGTTCCTTTTAGTTTTAAGACTAGATCCCCTCCCTGTCCCCCTTGATACTGTTGCAAGGGGGTTTCCACTCGTGTGACCTCCTGGAGAAGCCAGCTAAGAGCCCTCCAGGCTGGAGCTGCCAACCCTGTCGATGCCTGTCTGTCCCCACCGCAGGGTGGTACATTGCTGCCCATCACCGCGGTCTCTGGGCTTCTTCCGTGTGAAGCCTGTAGCAATAGTGAGCACTTCAGGGAGCTTCTCTAACTCTTACCCTTTGTAGCACCATGTCCCTGGGGTAGGGCATCTCTGTTAGTGGGCATCTCCGTTAGTGCCCTACCATGTCTTTGGGGTAGGACATCTCCATTTGTGGGCACCTCCGTTAGTGCCCTGCCATGTCCCTGGGGTAGGGCGCCTTCTTTAACCCCAGCTAAGGGTTCAGCCTTTGTGCCTACACCAATTTCACCCCTTCCTACCCCAGGTCACCTCACTGCTTGAAGCCGCTGGGTCTGACCGCGACTTCAGAGGCTTTGCACCCGCCAGCTGTGGGAGAGCAACCCCCTGCACCGTGACCTTCCAAATCCCAGATCCCAAGAGCAAGCCAAACCTCTGGCTTGCAGAGGATGCTGCATGCCCACATCTGTCTCCAGGATGTCCTCCACCACTTGCACCCTGATACCATCCCACCTGCCTTTTTGTGCTCTCCTTCTCCAAGCCCCTGGGGGGTTGTTTTTGCCAACACTGCTCCTGGCTCAGTGCCGGACTCCATGTGCTCCTTTCTGTCACATTTGCGGGGATAGGAATTTTGTTGGTTTTTTTTTTAACTGCAAAAAAGAAGAAAAAACAAACCCGGCTCTTGGCTGGAGCGAGGTTGTAAATGTAGACTCCTTTGGTTTTCCTTTTCCCCAATTCTAAGTTTAAGGAGAACATCCCCCCCCCCCTTTTTTTTACAGAGCCAACCCGTTGTGCATGCGTGTAGAAAGTTGTAAAATGTAAAATTGTTTTTTAATATATAAAAAGCTTGTTTTTACAGTTTGCAGTGGATCAAGGCCTTGCCGCCGCCAATGTAGGACCTTCATTTTTTCATGAATAGAGGAATTAAAATTGTACAATTCTTTTTTTTTTTTTTTTTATAAAATAAATACATTTGACATTTTGCTTCTTTCTCCCCTTGCTTGTTGCTTCGCTCAAGGGTGGAAGCTGTGACCGTGACTGGAGCGGTTGGTTTACACCTGACCAGAGGGAGAGCTTTTTCACACAGCAAGTAATTAACTTGTGGATTTGTTGCTGCAAGAACTGGTGGGGGTTATTGGCTTAATCTACTCCGAGAGGTAACTGGGCCAGTTCATAGGATCATGGACAATGAGGGTGGGAAGGGACCTCAGGAGGTCACATCTAGTCCAGCCCCTGCTCCAAGCAAGACTATCCCCAGCTACATCATCCCAGCCAAAGCTTTGTCTAGCCGGGTCTTAAACACCTCCAAGGATGGAGACTCCACCACCTCTCTAGGGTACCTGTTCCAGTGCTTCACTACTCTCCCAGTGAGAAAGCTTTTCCTAATATCCAACCTAAACCTCCTTTGCTGCAGCTTGAGCCCATTGCTCCTTGTCCTGCTATCCGCCACCACTGAGAACAGTCCAGCTTCGTCCTCTTTGCAACCCCGCTGCAGGGAATTGAAGATTGCTATTAAATCCCCCTCAGTCTTCTCTTCTGCAGACTAAATCAGCCCAGGTCCCTCAGCCACTCCTCACAAGTCCTGTGCCCCAGCCCCTGAATTGTTTTCGTTGCCCTCTGCTGGACTCTCTCCAACTCATCCACATCCTGTCTGTAGTGGGGGGCCCACAACTGGACACAGCACTCCAGATGTGGCATCCCCAGTGCTGAACAGAGGGGAAGAATCACTTCCCTTGAACTACTGGCAGTGGCAACACTCCTACTGATGCAGCCCAGGATGCCATTAGACTTCTTGGCAACAAGGGCACAGTTTGCTCCTATTCAGCTTCTTGTTCCCAGTCACTCCCATGGGTTTTTGGAGAAAAGGACCATTGGTAGGTATTGAATGTGGTAGGTAAAGAGGCTGCCTCTAAGTCAGACCTTCCTAAACCTCTGACTGCTGCAAGTTGCAGCAGGAGAGAAGCAAGTTGCACATGCCCTGGTCACCTTCCCCCTTAGCCTCTGCTCTCTCCCTTAGACTGCTCTGGCCCAGTAAATGGCATTTCTTATGTCTTTGATATCACCTTCTTACAGAACTTGCTCCACAGGTGGGTCTCAGCCTAGGTCAGCCAGACACTGCAATCCTGCAGCTCTGACTCCCTCCCTTCCAGCTGTGCGGGGAGAGAAAAGTGGTCCTGAGCTTAGCAATCATCCCATCAGAGACCTGCAAGCCATGGAGAGGGAATGCAGCATCTGGGACAGTGTGTGGCCTGGCAGATGGAGCAAGAGGAGGGCATGTCCTGTGTCCCCTATGTGTTGTGGTGCCTGAAGCAGGAAGATAGTAAGTGGAGGGACTGCAGCCTGTGAGAGGCAAGGAATGGGTGAGATGCTGGATGTGGGAATGGTGCAGATGTGCAGCAGCTGGAAGTCAAGGAGCAGGTGAGTGGGAGGGGTGAATGGTGCTGGGAGGAGAGTCCTTGGGGGGGGGAGGCTCAGAGGGGAGAGGGCAGCAGCGGGTGCTGGAATGGACTCGATGATCTAATGGGTCCCTTCTGACCCTAGAAATCTATGAAATCTATGGACCAGACTGCGCCCAAAAGGGAGCAGGTGGCACCCTGTCATTCCCCAGTGTAGCCACCAGGTGTCCTGCTCACCCAGGGAGTGGCTGCAGGGGCGATGCACCCAGCACCCAGCTGCTCCCAGGCACTGGCAAGGCAGCCGTTCCCCTGTGTATGGGGACAATGGAAACCCATCGGTCTTGCTGCCCCCAGTCTGCCCCGTTTGCCAAGGAGACTTGATGACCCAGGCATAACGAATCTGGCGTGCACTGTGGGGGCTCAGGGGAGCTCCTGCCAGGCTGGCAAGCAGGGAGCAGAATACAGATCCACACTTGAAAGGCAGACGAAGCCCTGACGAATGCCTGATGAAGGCACAGGCCCAGGAGACCCAATCTGCAGCTTGTTTTGCCTAACGAGCTTGTTCCAACTGGCTGGTGCAGACCAAGCCCTCCTGGACCAGCTGAGCCAGGTCAGGGTCTGGAGCACAGACACGGGAATGAATTCCCACTGCGGGGCTCTGCTGGGAGAGTCTGGATGCTGCTGGGTGTGACAGGGGAGCTGGGCTGGCAGGGCAAGGGCAAGCTGGGGGTGGGTGCCAATTTGCTGCTGGCTTGTACAGGCTGAGTGTGGTTTGGGCAGGGGCTTGTGTGGAGCTGAGGGCTGATGCAGAAGGGTTGCGGGCCTTTAGAATGCTTGGAGGCTGCTCTGATTTACCCCGGGGCTAGAGCTTTTTGTTGCAAAGAGGACGGAGCTGGATGGTTCTTGGTGGTGGCTGATGACAGAACAAGGAGCAATGGGCTCAAATTGCAGCAAGGGAAATGTAGGTTGGATATTAGGGAAAACTTTCTCACCAGGAGGGTGGTGAAGCACTGGAACAAGCTGCCCAGCGACGTGGTGGCATCTCCATCTTCATATGTTTTTAGGACCTAGCTAGACAAAGCCTTGGCTGGGATGATGTAGTTGGGGCTGGTCCTGCTTGGAGCAGAGGGTTGGACTAGATGCGACCTCCTGGGTTTCCTTCCCACCCTCATTTTCAAAGATCCTGTGATCTGGACCCACTCAAAGGACAAAGAGCTGCTTGAGTGGGAGCACCCCCCTCATGTACAGCTTCCGATGGGTGCAGGGATTACAGGCAGGGAGTCCTCCGGGCTGCAGCAACTCCTGTGGCCTGGCCCTGAGAAGTTGGGGCTGGAAGAGGCCGTTTCCCATCCTCCACCCTTCAGGACTTCCCCAGCACTGAGGAGGTGTGAATCTCACCTTGTCACTGCCAAGCCGATGTAAAAACACCCACAAGCACAGGAAGCCTGCGTGCTCTGAGGCAGCTCACTGCACCAGCACAAACAGCATAGGTGCATGCATGTGCTCTTGCATGTACCCGTTCAGGCACGTGTGTACATGCGTGCTACAAAACCCCCTCCTGGATCAGCAGCCAGGCCCCAGGTGGTTCCCCCAGGAGTCCGAATCCCCCCGTCACTCAGACAGAAAGAGCAACAGAGCTGGAAGTCCCAGCTGGCCCCAGTGCAGTGATGCCCCCACCCCAAATTCTGGGGCTCTTCAAAGACCCAGAGATGAAGAGGGAGGAAAAGGCAGCTCTGGCGAATGCTTCAGTGCTGCCTGAGAGGAAGCGAAGAGCTTTGGCTGTAATGTGTCATTTCTCCCCTGCCTGCTGACAGGTGGGAGCGGTGTCTGTGGGGGCGTTCGGGCCCCAGGGAGGCAGAGGGAGAGAGGAGCTGGGTTTGGACACAGAGCTGCAGGCCTGTAACCCCCAGCTCAGGATCGTCGGGTCCCTGACATGAAATACTGCTTTATTGGAGCAGCCAGCAACCTGCACGCATGCTCCCCTGCCCTGCCAACGTCAGGACTGTCGCAGCGAATGAAGACAAGGTCTCGATCCCAGCTGAACGTATCCCCTTGCTCAGCTCAGTATCACTTATACACATGCTCAGTCTTAGTTGGAGCCGTGGGCAAAGCAAGGGCAGGGAATGTAGTCCGGTGCCAGGCTACCTAACAGGAGACCTGGGCTTCGCATCCCCGCTCTGCTCCAGGCCGGGCATGGGGGGCATCAATGTGGCATGCAAGGGCTGATTTGCAACTTGAATGCAATCAAGGTGATGCTACGCGTGAAATGCAGTGGCAGGAGCTGCAACCCACCTGAGTTTGCCCAGGGCCCTGGGCATGGACCCTGGGTACTACCATGTGTTTGCTGCTATGGGAGCTCGTGCCAGTGAGGGCAAGGCAGCATGCACATACTAGTCATGTCTCAGACCTCATCGCTCCGTGCCTCAGTTTCCCCCTCTGTGAAATGGGGCCTCACCACCACCCATGCAGCATGAGGAGCAGTGCTGTGTAAGGAGGGAGTGTCGCCTTCCCAGTTGTCCTTCTCCAGTGGGTACAAACTGGTCAGGGGTGCTGGGGCTAGTGGGCAGAGGCTGCATAAGAAGCCTTTTGGTTTCACTATGTTCAGTCCAGGGAGAGGGGCTGGGAGGGTTAATCATCCCCTGAGGTCCTGGGACAGCTGTCAGAGACTTCAGCTGTTATGGACACGGCAGCCTGTTAAATGAGAGAAGCAAAATCAGGCCCGGCAGAAAGGAGGCACACGCCCTGCAGCGGGAGGCCCCCAGCTGCCAACTCCATGCTGGGGCTCTCTGCCACCTTGCAAGCTGCAAAACTAGCACACAGCTAGCAATCCTGGGATGCAGAGGTGAGAACTGGATTGCGGCCATGGGATTGCCCGGACCAGAACCAGGTGACCCTAAGCAGAGCCAGGAGAAGGTCCCCCAGCATGGAAACCATGTGGCAGGTGTCCAGTCACTGGGACAGAGCGGGCCATGGGATAGAGGGGCTGGAAGGCTGCAACGTGGAGTGATTCATGTTGGGGGACCTGCTTGTGCCAACCCACCGCTCACCTGGTGTAAGGATGAGTCTGGCTTGCAGAAGACTGACTCCATCATCTCTGCGCTTGGAGGCATCTCTGCCACTGGCGTCCCTGTGTCCGTTGGCCTCTGGGGTGAAGCAAAAGAGGAGCTGCAGCAGGCCAGTCTGTGCAGCCTGGTGTAGCACAGAGGCAGTGCCAGCAGTGCTGGGTCACCCCCATGCAGCCACTGCCACCGCAAAGTCTCCAGGGGATGTGGGCAGCCTGCAACCCAGATCACCGCTTGCATGGTTTAACCACTGAGCAATGCTTCCATGAGTGCTACGGCCCGGTCCCTACAGGCACTTGGTGCCCATAGCAGTTAGGTACCAAAGCGCCGTGTGGATCTGGGCCTGAGAATGGGATGTGCACCCGTCCCGGTCCAACGTTATCGTGATGCTGCTCCCCCGGGATCAGCTCAGGCCCTGCCTGTGTTTTTGTGCAACCCTACTGCAAAGACCCCACTCCACTTAAGGTCTCTACTTAGGGTCTTGGAAAAGCTGCGTGCCAGCAGGTGAAGCTCCCAGCTGCTTCTC